TAGGTAATGCTATGTACGAGCTTGGAGACAGTAGCGGGAAAAGGATTGGTATATACCACGCTAAGGACATTTTTGCAAAGTAGATGCTTGTTTTATGTAGTCTTGTTCTAATTGTTGCATGTTTGCTGTGCGAGCCAGAGGTTTTATGTTGTATGTTTCCTTTTTACCTAATTTTTAGTTATATCTGACTTTCTATTTCTAATTGACTAATTTACTCATTTATTTACTTTTCGTAATTATTTATTTATTTATTTCCATACTTGACTAATTTACTCATTTATTTACTTTTCGTAATTATTTATTTATTTATTTCCATACTTGACTAATTTACCTATTTAATTATTTTTGCAATTATTTATCGACTTATTTTTTATACTTGACAATATTTGGTGTGATTATGTATTTATTAATTAATTTATTTATTAACTTATTTATCTAATTATTTCTGTGATATTTTATATAAGTAGGTTATCTCTCCTGTGATATAGTGTAAAATAAGAAGGTAGTAAAGTATGTAGAAATAGAAATAGTCCTGTTCAAGATGTGAACAATTACGCCCAAGGAAAAACAACTGATATATAAAGGCCCGGCTAGGAGTCATGGGTCGAGGCCACACGTTGGACGCAACAAATACAAGCAACAGGCTGCCTTATTAATTTCTTTACGCACACGCTCCATGTTGCAGGCACCATCGGCGGGTCCGAGCCTGTAGCGGCAGCGGTTGCCTAAGAGGAAGTGTGGCAGATACATGCATTCATGTATATACGGCGGCCATGATGTTGCTGAGGCATTGGCAACATTGTAGCGGAAGCAGTGGAATTCAGGTAGTGGACTTTGTGGTGGGCATATGACATCATGTAGCGCAGAGTGAGGGTGCGCGTGTGAATAGGTGTCGNCATCATGTAGCGCAGTGTGAGGGTGTGCGTGTGAATAGGTGTCCTCACGAAGTGAAACCCGTTGAGCTAGTATGAGTGGCATGAAGGGCTGATTTGGTTTGATCGCCGTATAAAAGGGGGTAACCGTAACCAACGGGCCATTAAAGTGGTTGCGTTAAAACAGTGCGAAAAGTTGGTGAAAGTGCGCGAATAAAACGTTCGAAGTTTTATATATATATTCTAGGTATATATAACTTATATTAAATAAATCCGCTAATGGTGATTAGTTTGTTTGATGCCCGTCTTGAAGTGCTATACAGGAATAGGAGGTAAGTTAAGTTGTTTTTAAGAAGCATGCAGCTAAATGTGTGTAAATACATATGTACATAT